GAATGTTATTAATTTTGTGGGATTTGTTATACCCAGTGCAGTGATTTTTCATTTTGTTCATTTTACAATTGTAAAAATATCACGTGAAATCGAAGAGACTCGATCTGTCTCACTTTATCAACTTTAAATTCCCCTTATCCTCAGATCCATCCATGAGATTTCCTCGAGTCTCAAAATGTCGGAACAATTCGTTGAAAAATGAAGACATTAGTCTGTAATTCATTTTTTATGTAATAAAGACAGCTTATGTTGCTTGGGTTGTGCTACGTTATATTGTCTTTTTAACTTCTACCTAAGGTACTAGCCCCAGTTCGTGATCGTTTTGACTAGCCCCCTTACACGTGGGCTGAATGTGTCTAAACTGTGGCAGATCAATATCTTCAAATTTCTTCTACGAGGCAACAGCTTTTCCTTTTACGTGAAACATTAGATGTGAAGCAGAAGTGTGAATATGCTATAATATTTCTTGTATGCTTATTTCGTTAAGCAGACAATCGTCCTAAGTACCTTTTTCATGAACTCAATGGTAAACCCATAGCTCTAACTTCATCCTACTCGTCTTTAAATACCCTCGCAATATTCAGATCCACAAAATTGACAAATACTCATATTTCAGATATCCTAAATTGACTTTACTCGACTTTAAATACCCTCGCAATGTTCAAATTTACAAAATTGACAAGTGCTCATATTTCAATAATCCTAAATTGACTCTGCTCGACTTTAAATACCCTCGCAATGTTCAAATTTACAAAATTGACAAGTGCTCATATTTCAATAATCCTAAATTGACTCTGCTCGACTTTAAATACCCTCGCAATGTTCAAATTTACAAAATTGACAAGTGCTCATATTTCAATAATCCTAAATTGACTCTACTCGACTTTAAATGCCCTCAGAATATTTCATTTACTCAAAAAAATTATTACAATCCTTCAAAACCACAAAATTGACAATTTCTCATATTTCAGTAATCCTAATTTGATTCTACTCGGGTTTAAATACCCTCGCAATATTCAGATCCACAAAATTGACAAATACTCATATTCCAGATATCCTAAATTGACTCTACTCGACTTTAAATGCCCTCAGAATATTTCATTTACTCAAAAAAATTATTACAATCCTCCGAAACCACAAAATTGTCAATTTCTCATATTTCAGTAATCCTAATTTGATTCTACTCGGGTTTAAATACCCTCGCAATATTCAGATCCACAAAATTGACAAATACTCATATTCCAGATATCCTAAATTGACTTTACTCGACTTTAAATGCCCTCAGAATATTTCATTTACTCAAAAAAATTATTACAATCCTCCAAAACCACAAAATTGACAATTTCTCATATTCCAGATATCCTAAATTGACTCTACTCGACTTTAAATACCCTCGCAATGTTCAAATTTACAAAATTGACAAGTCCTCATATTCCCATAATCCTAAATTTCTCCTACTGAACCTTAAGTACCCTCACGATATCCAATCTCCCAAAAAAAAATATTAGAATCCTCCAAACCCACAAAACTAACAAACCCTCATATCCTAGCAATCCTAATTTCACTCTACTCGACTTCAAACACCCTCACAACGTTCAAATCGACAAAACTGACAGGCCTCCATACTCCACCAACCCTAAATTTCTCCGTCTCGACTTGAAACACCTTCGCAACACCCACCCAACCGCAAAAGAATTTTCCAAATCCTCGAAAAAACAACCCTCGCCGCACTCACAATATTCCCACGATCTCCGTACACCGAAACAGCTGTTAAGTTCTCCAAAGCTACCAGCTCGACCAACCAACATCGTAACATTTCCCTCGCGCACTTGAAACGCAATCGTACGCCGCGATTGCAGCACCATCGTGTCAGATTCGAAAAAGCAGACAAAAATGAGAAGAGAAAAAGGGAAAAAAAGAGGAAAGCACAAGTGTCGGTGTGTGTGCGATTCAATGCGGAACGGAAGCGTGAACGATGCACGGGGTGGCCGGGGTCGGGTTAGCCAGGAGAGAGTAGTCCGGTGGTGAGAAAGGGAGGGTTGGCTGGCGGCGTGTCTAGTAGGGGGGGATGCGCGGTGTATTAAACCCGGTGACTCTTGCCGCGCAGCGTGGGAGTTAGTTCTGGTGAGGGCGCCAGCCAGCTCACTCGCTAAACTAACCCACCGTCCCAACCCTTCGATCCTCCATCCCTCGACCTTCGGCCAACAAAGCAACATCCACGGCCGCAACCTCCTTTCACCGACTCCGTAGCCGCTGTTTTTTCGCGACTTCCTGGCCGGCCCCGCGGAACAACGGGAACAACTAAACCGAACCGGCGATTGCATCACGTACGAAACACCTTTCGCCACCTTACGCGTCTCCCAGTTACCCGTACACCGCTCGGCGAGGCGAGCATGCGAGAACACTGGCTCGTCGGGAGGGAACGCAGCTCGACGTAATAGAAAGTGCTCAACGTCGTCGTCGATAGGGTTGAACGAGTGTACCGACACACACGGAGGCAGACGCACATTCTCGCGGTGAACCACCACTCGAGACACCACGAGGCATCGCCGCTGCGAAAAGGAGGAGAAGGAGGGAAAAAAGGAACGCTTCTGTGAGATCTCTGTCGTTTCGAAGGGAAGAGAAGAAAAAGAGAGCTTCGTAGCTCGAGGTTGAAGAACGCCGCTTTCCTAGCAGCAGCATGCCTGCCGACCGCGGTTCGCACCATTTTGTGTTCGCGTGATCGGTTTACAATAAGCGAGTCTCTCGATCCTCAACCAGCTGTGATCCGTCGGTGATGGTCCAACTGACCGAACGTGGAAGAGAAACTGGTCCTCTTCGCTGCGAACGAGAAACGAGAAGAAGCTACGTGTAAGAGAAGCGGTACGAGAGTGTAAACGAGCGTAAGAGCAGAACGCTGGTCTTCGACTAGTGGAAGCCGAAGTTTTGATATTTCCGAGTCAACGGAACGTCGGTCCTGTATATTGGGATTATCACGCTGTAGAAGAAGGGACTGGAGGAGAGAAGAGTGGCATGTGCGACGGGAAACAGGGGATTTGAGCGGCAGGGAAGGTTATCTGTTAGCGTAGCGCATGAGAAAGGGTCCCACGGTGGGAAATAGGAGGAGAAGTGCGAAGGTTTCGCAGCACGCAGTCACAGAAGCAAGTATTCCGCACAAATACACCGTTTAAGCCTCATAACACCACGTATAATTACATCATTGAGTAATGTTCCGTAACTGCACCTCTGTCCGATAATTTTTTTATATATATATATATACACATACACACATACATACACATGCATATATATATATATGTATCTCTCTCTCTATATATATATATATATTGTATTCTCTGTTCACACGCGTCTCCTCTGTTGTGTCACACTTTATCTCTGTATGATCGATGTGTGTACTGTGTCTCTTCTTCTCCTTCGCTGTTCCAACTTCACGACGACCGGCCTAGTCGTCCGTCGTCTAATTAATTCCCTTTCCACCCACCGGGAGCACGGTTTTGCACATTTTTCGGGCACCTGTTGATCTCTCTCGTACTATACAGCCACTTTTCCGCACTCTAAAGTCGTTCGGAGAGTTCGATGTCACCACCGCTCTGCACGCCGTGTCACCGCACGTAGAAATTGCCTCACCGGCAGCACAAGCACACCAAAAAAAAACAAAAAGAAACAGAAGCAGCCTCTGTGAACCCGAACGTTCCTTGAACGAGCACGGTGATCGATAGTACCGGTTACGACGAGCAGTAAGTGTCCCCTTAAAGAACCAAGTAGAACCAACTACAGGACCTTGGAGAGCCTTTTGACGATCGCCACCGACGAGCTCGGATCGGAACTGTGATACACCGAGTGCGTGGAAAGTAGCATGTTACCGTTAACAGGAGATTCACGTCGACCGATTTTGGTGAACGATCAGTGGAAGGAACGGTCATGCAGGCGACGGGGAGAGAAATCAGGGGTAAGCGTACGAACAAGAGGCCCAGGAGAAAGATAGTTCGATCAGGAGCACACGTAACCCGTGGCCGATCGATTCATTGTTGCCCATCTACACACACACACATACTCTGTGCAAGCACCTTAAAAGCATCCATGACCAGCACCAACACACCACCGTTGATCACGGCACTCTCTGTTTCTCTCTCTCTATATATATATATCTATCTCTCGCTTTCTTTCTCTCTTGACCGCATAGTAATTAAGCGAAAGCCTGCTGCCGTGTCTGGCATAAACGAACACACAGCGTCATCCGTTGTTTGTTTGTTTTCTTTACTAACGGCCTGATTTCAGGACGCAGTGTAATCCTCAAGAGCCTCCTCTGTCGTTCGAGGGGTGAAACGGCGCGGTTCGTGAGAAATCATGCGAGGCTAGCGAGATCTGCCGCGTGGACCTGTGGATCGTGTACAAGTCGTTTCCGTGGATCCTAGTGATACAGAGAGAGACGCGGTGGACGAACGTGCGCGTGGTTCCACGTATATCTAGCCCCCCTTCCCCTCACCCGCCTCTGCCCGCCAACCCTAGAGCTGCGGACACGCTCAGATGAAAGAACGGACGAGTGAAAGAGAGGGACGCGTAGAATGAAAGTAGCCGTATGCATTTGAGAAACGTCGCCTTCGTCGTCGTCGTAGTTTCCTACATGTGACAAGGAAGTCTCTACAGAGAACGGTTATCGATTGATCGCCGGTCATCGCTCATAGTCCGCATATTCTTTCCTACGGTCGCGCCCCAACCAAAGCCGTTCCCACCTCACCTCCTGCACAGAGCTAAACGAAAAGTCGGCCTAAAACACAGAGTCGTGCCTTTCGACCTGGCTAGAGAGGATCGAAGATCGTGTGGGTGAAATTGTAGAAATATATTATACACACAATACTAGGAAAAAAGAACAAGAGTAATAGAGAAAGAGACAGAGAAGAAGGATAGTATCGATCTTATATTAGAATAAGGTTCTTCTCGTACGTCGTATTCGATTCCGATACGTGGCCGGTTGAATCCGGTGAAAAAAGGACACATATATGATGGCCGTATGCATGTTCTGGCTCCTCACGTACGTGGGACAAGGGCTAGACCTGGCCGTGGGGAATCGTCCGGTGATCATCATGCAAGGTGCACAGGAACAGGACTACCGGCACGGTATCAGAAAGAAGAGCGAGTTGAACTCGGTAGGCAATAACCTGTTGCACTTCAGGATATATCCTCCGGAGGCCTCTCACCGGGACGAGCTGTCCAACTGGCTCCTGTTGAACGACGAGCCACGGATCTCGTCGTGGGCACCGGCTGGTATATTGATCGACGACATGATCAGAGAGCCGAGGGAGCTGCAGACGGTCTTCTTCGCCCTGTCGCCAGCGATGCTGAACATGCTCTACTCGGAGTACGTGAACACCGCCACGCAACCGTCCGAGCAATTTTTCCACGAGGATCAGCAACAGGCGGGTGGTCCGATGGGTGGTCAACGTGGCAAGAAGTTGCGGATAGACTGTAGACACCCGAGGAACACCGTTAGCCTACCTATGAGAGTGTGCGACGACGAGATCGGCCAGAAGGGCGTACAGGAGACCAGACAATTGAGCTACGACGAACTGTTCGAGCAGAAACTGAACACTGCTGCGAATCTGAAGACTGACCCGAACTCACGGGGCCCAGAGAAACCGAGGGATTATCAGAATGGAGCACCGTTCGTATCCAGGCCACCATTCGGTCTGGATGCTAGCAAGCTACCTGGAAAGAGGAGCCAAGCACCGGTAGGACGTCGCTCCATCGACCTCGCCGGAGAGTCCGCCCCACATCAAGCTCAACCGCCGTCCTCCCTCGGGAACGGCATCACCGTCGCTTCTCAACTTATGCTCAGATCTACGAGAGGAAGCATACAGTACGACGTCCCGCAAATCGGTGAGTTTCCATGGTTTCTTCGTGTTACGTTGCTTGGTGGAGGTTGTTCCGTTGGAGGGTCTGATGGAGGTGAGGTACAGTTCATGGAAATGATGTAGTAGAGATCGAAAATTAAAGGGTTGACGGCACGAGAAACAAGCGATATTTGATCATTTTTCTTGATTAAACCAGCAAAGATATCGAGATATTTCTTTTTTCATGAAATGGTGCATCCTTAAACTGTAACAAAAAAATTTTTTTTTAATATAATTTTTGATAATTTTATAGTAAATTTTATGCCGGAAGTTAGCACTGTCTAGTAATGTGTCCTTTGGTCAGCGTGCAGTCTAGCACCTGCCAAAGTGATTTGGAAGCAACAAATTTTTAAGTATTATTGTTCTTTGATTGTTTATACTGGGATTGAACCGTCTTGTAACAAAAAAGTACACTTGAAAGTGTTATACCGTTTTGAAGAAGGAGTAGAAAAGAAATCGGTTTTATATTGCCTATAAAAATACTATAAATAAAGATAAAACATTGATTGTCCGTTCAATCCCTGGAGAAATATGTATCGAATTGAATGGACTTTATCCGAAGTTGATCGGTCGATTACATTTTGAGTTATCTTGCACGCGCGACCTGAAAAACATGGTTTCGTTTCAAAAGCGCGTTTGAAGTTGGAGCCTCTGACAGTTTAAAGCCCTGACACATCTTCACAAGTGTGCTTGTAACTTCGTTATTTTCATTAATTCGCCCTTAATATTACAGGATCACATGTTTCACGTGTACTGTCAATTTACGCAAATTTTTATTCGACCGTGGTATTCATAAATCGAGCAATGATTTCTGACTACACGAATTTCTAAAAATTAGCAATCTTTAAATAATGGAAATTTTACCTTTCAACTTAAAGGTGCCAGATTAAATTTAACAAATTCATCATCTTCTCGAATAATTCCCAATCTTCTCTTAAGTAGTTTTCCTCTTAAATTAAATTAAAGTTAACAAAAACGTAATGCAGCTTCAAGGTCCAAGAGTTTAACATTGCAGAAAGGTCCGGACCATTTGAGAAGTTAATTCGGACACGCGTAATTGACATTTTACAGCTGTATCCGACTATCCCTCAGGATCCAAATTGCCCTTCGAGCTCTTCCTCTGAAATCCCCCTCTCTACGAATTACAGAAATTTTCAGTGTTCTTCCACGCTCGTCCAGCGTCGTTGCTCAAAACTAATTCCGAAAGTCACGTTTCACCCGTTCTCCAAACACGCCCGTGCAAACGCATTTGTTTCCGCTGCACTTTGTCCATGACCGCCATCGTCGCAGCTCGCTCGGCACTCTTTGCTCTCTCGTTTCCTGTGCCATCACTTCCGACCTGTTTACTTTAATCCAACGTATTCAACATCGAGATCAACCGGTTAGAATTATTCGAAACGTTCAGATCGACTTCAGAACCTGTGGATTTAATTGCACCTCTTCGACATCGAGTAATTGATACGTCACCGGCGAAGTGTGAAGTCCAGGAAATGTATACTCCGCCTAAGCAATTAAATTGTGGAAATTTAGATAATTCTGGAGCTGAAAATTTTTCTAATTTTCTGGTAAATATCAATCTTTGCTACAGACTTGAATTAAAAGTAATTGATACGTTGCCACCAAAGTGTGAAGTCCAGGCGATGTATACTCTGCCTAAGCAATTAAATTATGGAAATTCACAATTGAATATGAAATGTAATCAAATATTTTTAGACCTGAAAATTTTGCAAATATCAATCTTTGCTTCAGACTTAAATTAAAAATTATAAAATAAATTTTCATTGTCCCCTCCTTTAATCACATTCAACCCTCTTTTTTCCTCAAAATGTGTAAATTCATAAGTTTGGCTTGAGGTACAATTTCGAGAGATAATTTTGGCTAACTTGCCATACTTCGCACTTTGTTAATAACAGATAAGTGTCTGAATGCCACAAATTGGCCACTGAACAACGTGGAACAGTTTCCGAGCAGTCTCGTGGACGTTAGGAAAAATTGATCGATAGAATATCGAGTCGGTTTGCAGACGATGGGGGTTGTTCTGTTTGACGTACTCTCGAATTCGATAGGGGGGCAAATTAATTGAATGGATATCTCGCCTTGAACTTAAAACGAACGGTTTTTCATTCACGGGAAAAATAAAAGGGCTGGATCGAGTTGTCGCCGGAGAAATCGAGAGCAATTTCTTGCCGATGCTGTTCACCGGGCATCCTTTAAATGTCACCCCCTCCGGGACCAATTTTCTCTGTACGTTATCATTGCAAAAAGCCCCTCGGCTGCTTTGAATCAGCACGTGTAACATGCTCGATATTCGATATCCCAATTTCAAATCGACCATTCGTACGCGCTCCCTTTTCCACCTATCGCGACAACGTACTTTAAATTCGACTGGATAGTAGGTGGCAGGATTAATATTTATGTAGAACCAATGCGGCGATGTCACGCTAATCCTCGATTGCGTTTCTCTTTTTGATCAACGTGTCCTCGGTGGTAATAAAGGATTTTACAATTCGTATTGTTTTCTCGTGCATCGTCAGCAATGGTAAATAAATGGTGAATATTGAGGTTAAAGTATATTGAATTTGGTTTTGGGGAACAGTTAAGCTTGTCGTTGTATTAAAATTGTTTTACTGGTGACATTTTGTCTCTCGACAGAAATTGAAATGTTCCAAAAAATTCGCTGATATCGAATGGTAAATAAACGGTAAATACCAAGATTGAAATATATTGAATTTGGTTGCTGAGAAAAATTAAGCTTCCCGTAA